GTTGAATATAATTATTAAAAAGGCCAAAAAAATAACAAAAAACAAATTATTAAAAATAAATAAATAAACATAATTTGCAAGCAATATCGTTTTGAATTTCGTTGCTAATTAGTTGCACGCATCTGGTGGATGGTGAGTGGGATATATCGACTACTGAGTGGAAGATCGACCTGTCTCGGCAGCCAATTCAAAAATGTCCTATCTCAAAAAAACTTCTCAAGAACGCCCTATTTCAGAATTTGGTTGAAGAACGCCCTACTTCAGAACTCGTTTCAAAAACGTCCTATCTCAGCTGCCGATTCAAAAACGCTCTATTTCAGCACATTTTTAATATATTTTGAAGTTAGGTAGGGCGTCTTTGAACAGAATTCTGAGATAGGGCGTTCTTCAACCAAATTCTGAGATAGGATGTTTTTAATAAAATTCTGATATAGGGCGTTCTTGAAAAGTTTTTTGAAATAGGACGTATTCGAACTGGCTGTCGAGATAGGTCGATCTTCCACTTAGCAGTCGATATATACTAAGTTTGATCATACTCGCTGCGCTTTTCTGATATGTACTACTATATGTGTTTTTAACAAATCAGTAAAGATTCTATGAAAAAACGTATCGTCATCTTCAATGCAAAGGCATACATTTTTTTTTAAATATACATGGGAAATTTTCAAATAGCTGTTATAAAGATGCCTATAATTTTTTTTAGCGATATGGCTAAGAATTTTTGTAAGAAAAAATACATTTCCAAAAAAATGTGTTATGTGCGAATGTTCACTTACCCCAACACTATTCGGTCTGTTTAACAAAGCTGGCGGTCCCTTTTTATTGCGCTCTCTCACTTTACCAGTGAAACGTTGAATCATAGCAGTAATACCCCATGAAAACTTAAACTCGAGATCTTCCTGAAAGTCAGCACACAAATTCTGACAATTGAGCGAATATAGCATTTCAAATGGCTGCGATCGTGTAGCAATTTTTGTTTGCACCACGACCTTTTCGTTGGGTACTAAAGTGTACATGCGATCTGGAATATGAAAAAATAAAATGTCGTTTCTATAACTTTTTTAAATTTTGCAAAATTACCCGTCATTTCTCTTTGTGCCGCCTCTACATTCATAGCTAAGGCCATTGAAAGTCTGGCTCGCAAATTGGAGCCTAAACCTGATTCCACATGCGAGTTGAGCTCCTTCTTATAGATATTCAATACCAATGGCTCCGGATGGAAAGGCATATTAAACTCATCTATCAGTACACCTAAGCGCCAGATTTCTTCATTTAGTGCTTTGGATACTTTCTGTTCCACTTCCTCCACCATATTGTGAATTTTAAGTTTCATATCTCTGGTCACTTGCATCATTTGGGTCTCTGTTCCTTGAATACGCTCGGTAAGTAACGTTTTTTTGGTCAATTTTAAGATTCCGGAATATAGTAGTACGTTCAAATATGTTATCTAACATTGAACACATATCAGCGGAGAGGCTTTTGCCGCGTGAGCTGTGCTGCTCAAACTTAGTTTTAACGGCACTCTGAGATATGCATTCCTCGAATTTCCGCTCAAAGTCCTGAAACTCGAAATAACGCACCTGGAAACCCTCCGCTATTGCACCCAAATGTGGGGGATTCCCTTTTGCTTCTTCGAGACGAGCCTTAATAAATTAATCAAAATATACGGTTTACACTCTCCTCAATTTTGAATTTGTGGCAATATTTTACCTGAAGTGTTTCACGTGCCGATACAAAAAACACACGTTCAGCTGCTTCTTTTTCATTGCTTACTTTCAACTCCCTTGTCAAAAAGTCAATACAACGCTCTGTGTGCTGTGATTTTACCTAAAATAAGCAGTAAATTACAATCATTATGTGTCACTTTTATTCATATGTGCATATGTATAATAACTTAAAAATGTAATGAAGAGGGTCTCAATACATATTTACAACTGTGAAGGTGTTCCAATGTTTTACCTTTTCCAAATCCTGCTTTCGCAGTAAACATTAACAGTTTAAAGAGTTCAACGAAAAAAAAAAAATCAAAATTACAAACTACATGATAGATAAAATTTAATACACAAGTAATAAAATATGACTACATACCGAGTCTTGAAATTCAGGTTCATTGGCAGATGCATCCCACCGATTGTTTAGTATAAAAATATTTGGTTTAGAAAGTTTTTGTGAGACAGTATGAAAGAATTGTTTCTCTGCACGAGTCATAGTTGATTCTGCGTTCAACACGAGAACAAATACATCGGCATTGATGCAATGATTATCAATCCAGTCATCCAAGTTAGCAGACACATCAACGCCAGGAGAGTCAACAAAGACAACATCATCACGCAATAAACTGCAACGCTCTCTTGGCCAAAATATGCGAACTAATGAACTTTCACTAAGCTTCTCCTGGCATAGCGCGTTTGCCAGTTGCTTGATGCTCTGAAATATAAGTCTTGTAGTTAATCGAAAAATAAATCGGCAATTACAACCTACCACCACGTTGAGTTTTTCATCTGAACCTTCTTTCATCAAATATGCTTCTTGACCATCACTGCCTTCTACTTGGCAAAAACAGTTGGTTGTGTGTCCAATACCACTAGGGAGAATTTTCTCACGCAGCATAGCATTAATTACAGAACTCTTGCCATTGGATGTGCGCCCAAAGAAAGCCACCTTCATGTGATCCCTAGTGAGAACCTCACGTATAGCCGCCACTTTATGTACATAACTTTCAAATAGCTCTCGTTCGGCTTTGTCCACAATTTCGGCTTCTGCATGTAGTGCTAATGAAATAGAAATAAATGATCCAATTACATAAAGTTCATGAACAAATATTTGCTGTGAAATTACCATTAATAAACTGTGTGGTTTCAATAACATACTCCTCAATTTCACCATAAATGTCATTGATCTTTTTCTTAGCCCTTACAAATACCTGTAAAGGTGATTTATCAGCAAGAGCGTTTTGCATAGTACGATTTTCCACCATCGAGGCATTCGGGTTAAAATTAGAAGACGTTGCGCCCGCGTTAGCATTGGCGCCATTTCCAGTCACCATCGAAATAGTGCGATTCAAATAGGCCGCCATTATTACAAAAATAAAATTTTCTTAATATAAACAATGCAATCAAGATTTGATATCCTTCTACTTTACACGAATATGTTGCAATAAATCAAAGGGAAAACAAAAGCTCTACAGAAATAAAATTATTTTAAATATATTCAGGTATGACTGTTAAAATAGTGACAAAATATGATCTTGGATTTGTCAATGTCGATCAATTTTTCAACGCTTATACAACTCGGTGTGATATGAAAGTGCGGTCGCTTAAGCGCAACAGTGGGAAAACCAAAATTGTGGAGAAAACTCAATTATTAAATTTCTGAAAAAAAAAAGAAAAAGTACACATACATATAAAAAATATCAAAACATAATCATGAAATTCATATAACTGACGATTAGTGCATTTAAAGTAAAAATGTGGATAAACAAGAAAGCGAGTTGATATAAATGTGGTAAAAATATATGACAAATGTTTGCAGCTACATACCCCTACATACCTACATACATACATATGTATATACAAACATGTGTTCACTTTTTTAACCTACTTAAAAAAAGGAGAAGGTTATCAGTTCGTATGTTACCGCATAAATTTGAACCACGTTAACCGATTTCTATAATTCCTTTTTTAAAGGAAAGGTGTTACCTCAAAGGTAGTCTCATACTAATTTGGTTTAGATTCAATCATTGGATCATGAAGACATTAACGATAACTTTAATTTTTATATGGATTTGAAGTCGGTTTTGTTTTTTGCTTAAAAATTACTACTTTTTATATCACTTGGAGTGAAAAGTTCCATTTTTTTTAAATTTCAAAGGATAGTAGAGCGTCTGTGAATCGGTAACAAAGTTCGTGTCGAATTTTTGGCAAGAATGAGGTGAATAAAATTTCACTAGCCATGAGGCTAGTAAAATTTTTGACAAATGCATTGAAAATTTTCACAATCGCAAAGATTGTTAATGTGTGTAATTTTTCTTTAAATAAAAGCTTAAATTGATGAATTGCAATCAATGATAGTAGATGTTTTCTTAAAATATTAATTTAACTTCAATTTATAATATTTTATTACACATAATGGTGCATTTACATGGTATGAATCTGTTCATAAGCCGTATGAATTTTCCTATAAAAGAAGCACCAACTCTATGAAGAAATTAATGAAACCAATATATATTTAACAATTTTGACTTATATACTTGGCAAGTACTTTTTTGTAAACAACAAATAAAACAAGTAAGAAAGTCTAAGTTCGGGCGGAGCCGAACATTAAATACCCGGCGCAAGTATTAAATATATGTTTTTTCACCCTTCCGAAACCTTCCGCTAGATGGTAAGCCGAGGTGTATCAATTTTGAGTAAATTAGCGTCCTTCAATTTCGAAATATTGAAGTTTCAAGCATTTCTTAAATTTACCGTTATATGAGAATCGGCCGTTATTTTAGTCCGATTTCAATAATTTTCAACGTTTTGCTTACACGTGGCAAGTACAATAACCATACCGAGTTTGGTACAAATTGGTAGAACGGTTACCGATATACTTATATGTGATCATAAGTTGGCGGTGCCACGCCCATTTTCCAAAATTTTACCATAAACGTATTTCTTGGTAAAGAATTGTTGCAAGCATCAATTTTGAATAAATTAGCTTCAATATTTAATGATTTATCGAAGATTTTGTATTTCTCTAAATTACCGTTATAAGGGATGTGGGCGTGGTTATTGTCCGATTTTAAAAAGTTTCGGCGGTTTTTTATGCTGTACCAAGGCCAACAACTGTGCCAAGTTTGGAAGAAATTGGTGCAGCGGTTACCAAGATATACACATGTAACCATAAGTGGGCGTGGCTACGCCCATTTTCCAAAAATTTATAATATTCTTATTTTTCGTCTAAAACTTATTATAAATATCAATTTTGAGTGAATAATCTCCAGTAGTTACTAAAATATCGCAGTTTTCGTATTTCTGAAAATTACCGTTATATGGGAAGTAGGCGTGGTTATTGAGCGATTTGGTATGTTATGCGAAGGCCAACAACTGTGCCAAGTTTGGAAGAAATTGGTGCAGCGGTTACCAAGATATACACATGTAACCATAAGTGGGCGTGGCTACGCCCATTTTCCAAAAATTTATAATATTCTTATTTTTCGTCTAAAAATTATTGTAAATATCAATTTTGAGCGAATTATCTTCAGTAGTTACTAAAATATCGCAGTTTTCGTATTTCTGGAAATTACCGTTATATGAGAAGTGGGCGTGGTTAAAGTCCGATTTCGCCCACTTTCAATACCAACCTACCTTGGATTAAGGGAAACCTACATTGCTCGAGTTATCGTGTACACGGACAGACGGACAGACGGACGGACAGACAGACATGGCTTAATCGATTTCTTTTTTCATCCTGATCATTTATGTATACATTTGTCTATATCTATCTCGATTCGTTTTGGCTGTTACAAACAACCGTTATGTGAACAAAATTAATATACCCTTGTGCACAAGTGCGCTCGGGTATAAAAATTTTATTTTGTGGTAGCGGCACAAAAGAACCGTAAAGCATCAGCAGCAACGCTGACCGCAAGAGATGGCAAAGCAGCGACTGCAGCAGCGGCTGCAAACGACGACGCAAACGCCGCGGCACAAAGCGATGAAGTTCCCCACGTGAACGCAGAAGCGACCGCGATGGCGATTGCAACCAATTATGCAACTGCAACAAATTATGCAGACCACGCGGGCGACAGCAATTATCCAATCAACCAGCGCGATAAAGCGACCGTGATGGCCACTGCAAATGGCTATGCAGACCATGCGGCCCACAGCAACCACGCAGCTAGACAGCACAACGAAGCGACCGCGGCGGCGACTGCGCATAACGACGCAAACCCCGCGGCCCACTACAACCGAGCAGCCGACGGCGCAGACCTAACGGAAATAGAGGCACAGTTGGAAAGGCGCCTACGTATACTACAATTAGAAGCAGAAATAAAACGGCTAGAGTACGGTAGAACTAACTACCGTTTTCCAGTCAACTTCAGTGAAATCGAAAAAAGCCTTCCGAGCTTCAGCTGCGACGCTAAACTAACCATTGAAAAATGGATTACGGAATTCGAGAGCACCACGAAGGTGTACGGTTGCGATGAAGAAACAAAACTAATCGTGGCAAGACGTCTACTTACAGGAAATGCTCAAATATTCATGCACATAGCCACTGTCAGCTCATGGCAAGAGCTAAAGAACAAGCTAAACACAGAGTTCAAGAAGCCACTAAGTGTCAAAGAGGTCTTCCGTCAGCTGGAGAATCGGGTGTGGCAGCAAAAATCCGAAACCCTCACCCATTTCGTATTATCTATGCAGGAGTTGGCACAGTCGGCGCCTGTAGAAGAGCACGAGCTGGTAGAACTTATTATCGATGGCCTGAGAGACAAGACTAGCATATTAGTGTTTAGTGGAGTTACATCGTTGGAAAAACTAAAAAAACTACTTCCGCAATATGAAAGACTGGTAAACAGCAGCAGCGTCGGGAGAAATCGAACAACAGCAAACAGCGCCGAGTCTTCGTTGAGGTGCTATAATTGCTCGCGTTATGGGCATTTCTCAAAAGACTGCAAAGAGAAGCGACGCACACCGGGTTCCTGCTTCAAATGCGGAGAAAAGGAGCATCAATACAAAAACTGTCCTTTGAAGACGGTGGCAGCGCTGGAGGAAGACAACGATGACCGAGAGGCAGTATACTTTAGAGAAATGGTAAGGGTTGATTTCAGTCAAAATCGTAGGAAATCTCCTCAATATTTGAAATTTTTCTCTTTGCTCGACACCGGCAGTCCATATAGCTTCATCCAATCCTCTCACATTCCAGGTGTAGTGAAGTGTTTTAGATCTCAAGTGAATTCGCCACAATTGAGAAGCGTCGGAAGATCTAGAATTAAACCTCAAGGGCGAATTTCCGTTTTAATTAAATTTCGCAACATTGTAAAAGCATTAAAGCTTTATATACTAGATGACAATGAATTACCTTTTTCGCTATTGCTAGGAAGAGACTTTCTTAGCGTTTTTGAAATTTTCTTATGTAAACGCAAAACATCTTTACCTAATAAAATTGGTACCTCTGAATTATTAAAAGAATCGGAACTTATTTCGAATGTAAAGAAAAATATACAGGTAGAGTGGAATGAAATATGCAATATAGTCAGTAGCGTGGAGATTAAGGAGTTAGTTGACATAAACCCAAAATTACCTTCAGCTTGGGCGGATAACTTAAGGCTTATGATAAAAAATACTTACGTACAAAAACAAAATGAAGACCTTCCGAATATAGATTATGAGGCCAATCTTACGCTTACGTCAAACATTCCGACCTTCTGCTCACCGAGACGCCTATCGTTCGCTGAGAAAATCGAAGTTAGCCGCATTATAAGTGAATTGCTTAAGAAAAAGATTATTCGACACAGTGACTCCCCTTACGCATCGCCTATCGTACTTACAAAGAAGAAATCAGGCGAGACTAGAATGCGTATTGATTATAGAAACTTAAATAAATCAATAGTGAGGGATAACTATCCACTTCCGTTAATTGAAGATTGTTTGGAATATTTGGGCGAAAATAGAATTTTTACACTTTTAGATTTGATGTCAGGATTTTTTCAAGTAAAAATGGCGGAGGACTCAATAAAGTACACTTCGTTTGTAGTACCAAATGGCCAGTACGAGTTTCTAAGAATGCCATTTGGTTTAAAGAATGGACCGTCCATTTTCCAAAGATTTATAACGAAAATTCTGAAAGAGTTTATTGAAAGAAATGAGATAATGGTATATATGGATGACATCATAATTGGTAATAAATTTTTGAGTGACCATTATGATTTAGTTAAAAAAGTGTTAGAAAAACTGGCACACTATGGCCTTCAGATAAAACTTATTAAATGCAAATTTGCTTATAACGAAATAGAGTATCTAGGCTACACTGTATCCGAATTTGGTATACGACCTTCTGAATCCCACATAAAAGCCGTAACAAACTACCCAACCCCTAGAAACCAAAAAGAGCTGCAATCGTTTATAGGATTATGCTCATACTTCAGAAAGTTTGTGAAATCATTCTCCATAATAGCACGTCCGTCGTATGATCTATTGAAGAAAAACCAAAAATTTTACTTCAACAATGATTGCGTTAACGCCTTTCAAACGCTAAAGGAAACATTAGTTTCAAGCCCAGTGCTGGCAATATACTGTCACAAAAGAGAAACGGAGTTACACTGCGACGCAAGTGCACACGGCTTTGGGGCAATCTTGCTACAAAGGCAAGATGATGGGAAATTTCACCCCACAGCGTACTTTTCTAAAAGAA